ATGGAGGTTGCATCGCCCGCTTTTCCGACTTTTCCATTGATTAGTTGGCAAACAGTGCAGTGGAAATTGTTGGATAATCATATCATGTCCACCCTCATTGCCTATTTAAGCTTGTCATCAATCAGGGCATTATGGCCAATTGAGCAAACATTGTGAATTTGTCATTGTTAAAAATCGTTTAACTGCGATGACATCTAATTGCCCTGCACTTTCTCCACGTCGGCATACCTATCTCTTTCGGGTTTTCCCGTCAATTTCCATTTGAGCGGATATTTGTCGAGCAAACCCGATTGATTTTCCAAGCTCTCTGCTTTCCTTTCTCTTCACCGCTCGCTTTCCCTTCACGGCTGATAAGCCACAAAATGCATTTCTAGCAATTTCCTTGTTTGGCCCATTTTTATGGCGCATGTTGCATACTATACGGCGCCACTGTATGTGTACCACATTTCCTTTCCACTTTCCACCCATCGCCGCCCACCTCATCTGCTTAGTTTTTCATCCAGACTCAGCCTTGACTCAAGTTTTTCAGGAAATCATTGCACCCGAAGGCGGATATATCCCGGTTGCCATGATGCCCCCTTTACCTCCGACATTCAAATATATGGTACGAGTATATATATGTGTATATATGTATATTTATATCCCCTGTCCGCACTCTCTTCGCCAGCTGTCTTCGGCACTTCAGCCGACGCTTAAGTTGCACAAAATGTAATACATTTGATTGCACTCATGTTCAAGTTCTGTGGCCAAAGTGGCTGCTGGAGCTGCCTCAAAAGGAGGAGCAAAAAATGAGGAGTTGCAAGGCGATGCCCCAGACCGTGCCCCACATTTGCACCAACTTCTCTGTCGGATTCCCATTCCCTCCATCAGGTGGCCGGATTCATGATCTCCTTTTTCCTCCTCAAAGTCGTAAGTGAATACGGACGCCGTTCATCGTGTGTGGGAGCCTGAAAATGTTACAAATTGATAGATCCGCTGGCACATTGGCAACAACGGCAAGTAGCAGCCAATTGCCAACTATCTGTTTATTAGAGCAAACATGAGGAAATGCCTGGGGAAGTGCATTATTTGAAAACGAGACGGATGAGATCTTATGCTTAGTTAAGGGAACTTATCCCTTTTATTTAAACTACGGGATACTATGAAATCTTAAGATTTTCTTCCAATAAATATATAAATACAAAAGTGGCACTTCTAAGTGTATTAAACCATTTTACTTTGCATTTACCCATATCATTTTTTTACCAAACCATAAATAATAACATTTTACTACTTCTACTTGATCCTATTAATGAACAAGTATTTATATGATTTAAAGTACAGGAACTAAAAAGATTTTATTTTACATAAAAATCAAAGAAAACATCACAAAAGTCTTAAAGCTCAGCTTAGAGTGGGATTGCCTTTAAGTTTCTACATCCAGGCAAAGTCAGTTATCATAAGTCCCATGACTTTCTGATGTATTCCCTTTCAGCTTTTGATAGGCCTGCAACGCGCTTTATGTTAACTTCCCACCCCATTTACCCTTTTCATTAATACCCATTAGTGACGACTTTCAATGGTGAGTGGCCCTATACATCATTCACAATTAAATCTGATTAGAGAGTTAGCGGGTCCATCAGGTTCAATCAAAACTGACATGCCGAGTGGTCCAAAGAGCCGTACAGTGGGACAATGCTAAGCGTGCCGGCCTGAATGACGAAACTGACTGCCTGTCGTCTATTTCAGCCCACAACTGCCGTACTTCTGCATTCCAGCAGCATGGCTAATAGTCTTTAACTGATGGCGGGCAGTGCCACCATTAGGCCGGAAAACCGGGAGTTAGGGGAGTTCATGGGGAAACGGCAGTCAATACGACATCCACATCCGTTCAGGTTGAGGCATCGACATGCTAATAGCTTTGAACTTTTCGCAAATTGCAGGCACTGCACACTCCGCCCGCCGTTTTGCAACTGCAACGGCAACGGCAACGGCAACTGCATTTGCGTTGCACTGTTAATTACCGTTATTGAACTTGTTTGATTGGCACAAGTTGAAAAGTTGGGCGAGCCAAAGGAGGCAAACGCTGACCACCAAGCAGCCCCGTTTAACCCCGGGAAATCGGATTTCCCGGGGCGGATGAATGTTTGCGAGGGTGCAACAGTTTCCCCCCAACTGCCACATGAATTGCAAATGTAAATACAGGCAACATGCTCGCCAGCCACTTGGAAAGGCGTGCGCCAGGCGAGGTTTGCGATAATATTTCCTGCAATTAACCAGCTCTTACCTTTTCCTTTTTCCAATTTTTTTCCCAATAATATGATATTCCATTGTATAATATCCTTTCAGTCATATCCCTTTTCCATAAATCATAAATAACATAAATTTTATTTCCACATCCTTCTCGAGAGCTGTTGAGTACATTTTTACACCAAGGAAAATAAAATTTGAGTGCATAACTTTTAATGCTCAATAAGTTAAAGCGATTCCTTATTTAAATTTTATGCGTACTTTTTTATTTACACACCAAAAAATTAAATGACCTATACTTTAAAAATATATTGCCTTCATTTATATTTAAAATAGTTTTTCCTAAACTACAGGAGTTTATTTTACGGTTCCATATTTTTTTTAAATTTAAGACAATCTTGAATTTTTTTACTTTTTGTTATTTTTGGGGTTTTTCTGAGTTTATACTCGACTTGTTTCTGAAAAGGTAATAAGCTTGTCTTAATGAAGATGAACCGTAAAATGCTTTACTTTCTGCAGAAGGATGGATATCTCTAAAGAATCTGGTTTTAGTAGGTCCTAGTATAAATTTAAAGCTACGATATTTTCAAACATCCTTTTTTCTTGGTGTACAATCATAGTTTTCCAATATCCCTGGCTTTGTGCCTGCCTTTCTCGTCCTTAAAGCAGAATGCAAGCTGCATTCAACGCCGCCTGTCAATTGGCAGGCGATGGCGAATACAAAGGCAGAACTGGGCAAAACAAGATGGCGGACAGGGTCCTTGTGGTCCTTGTCATCGCTGCGCTTTTCCCACTGTCATCGCCATGCGGACATGTGTGATTGTGTGACTGTGTGACTGTGACTGTGACTGCGACTGTGACTGTGCCTGTGCGATTGCCTTGTTGTTTTCGTTGATTTTTCCACTTGGCTTCCACAGCCATATTGTTAACGCGCACGGTGCGGAGCTTTCTCCCATCCCGCTCTCTCTTCCGATTCTACGGATGCTAAAGTTGACTTTTTACTGATTTCAACTGCAAACTTTTGCCATAGTTTAGTAGTCTTGGTTGTTGTTCTTTTTCGCAGCAGCCGAGGGATTTATGGGAGCTCAAAGTGCTTCTCGGTTTTCAGCTCTCGAATCTCGCTTGGGTGTGAAAAGTAAAAACTTTGTCCTTACGTAAGTATGGGAATTTATTTATATATCTATATATATATATATATGTATGTGGACACGTGGTACATGTACTACATATGTAGGTGTTCGGGCACTTGGGCATAAACTTGTGCGAGTCAGTGTGTAATCAGTTTTAAGCCAACTGTAATGCCACCAGATGATATCGATTCAATTTTCAGGTCTTTTGAGCTGCGATCCAAAAATCCTGTTTAAGCAGTCAATTCATTAATATTAGCTGCAGCTTGCCTTCTGCGAACTGCGAGAAATGTGAGTTTAATCCTGAAAAATAAAGCTAGCAGTGGAGATATATCAAGTTGGGATGCAAAGTAACTGTCAACTGAGGCTAAATTATGTCCGATTCGTTCGAGGGAAATTGGGAAGAGGACTTGGTAGCTGTTTCGATGGCAATTGCAATTGAATCCTGTTTGTAGCCAAGCGGCGACAGATTTTGTGTGGGTTCTGTGAATGCAAATTTCGTGGATTTATGGCCAACCCATTTCGTGAATTTATTGTTCTTGCATTAGTTTTACACCCACTGTGCTTACAGATGCTATAAATAAACAAAAGGGAGTTCTTAACTTAAAGGATCTTCCTAATTGTGGCGCTCCAATCTCCTACTTACAATGACGTAATCCAAACTCTTATAGCTTAAGTAAACTTTGCGTCAAATAATTCACTTTCCTCGTACGTTAGTTTTATACGTTTTGCTCGCACGAATTCAATTTCTTTCCCACATTTTTTCCGCTTTCACTTTGGTTCAATTTATAAAATTGAATATCGGCAGCGAAACTCGATTTGTCCACATACGACCACGCCCACAGACGCAGGACGATTGGTGATGGAAATGGGGGCGAAAAGGACCTACCGTTTTCTAGGGCGTGTTGCGTAAGTTGGCAAATTATCTGGAAGGGAACCGAGAATGTGAAGCTACTTACCTAGTAAATAGACAGTGGGCTAAACAGCCAGTTTTGGTATCAGAATAATTGGTAAAAGAACTATTCATTATTTTAAACCATTTATAGAATTGAAGATTATAAATCTGTATACTTGCATTTACCAACTTAAGGTTTTAAATATAATTTTCTTTTTTTATTTATTTACCACATGTTCCACTGTTAAATCGGTTAATGCATTTCCTTTTGGCAGCCTTTATCGCCTGCCAATTGCTTCAAATCCTACCTCACACACACGCATACCAATGCCTCGGTACGCATTTTATTTAAATACACACACATGTGTGTGTGTGTGGTGTATAAAAATTGCCATTTTCCCAGTGATTTTTATTGCGCCCACCGCTCTTCTTAGTGGGTCCCCTGTCTTTATCGCCACCCCATTTTCTGTTTTCCCCATCACTCTGAACGCCGCTGACAGCTTTACGTTTTGTGGGACGCACAGTGACTTACATAAGTACACCCGCACACACACACGCACACAACTGCTCCTTTGTGTGTCATTTAGCTTTTGTCTCACGCGTGCCAAGTCCACCCCCTCCCCACCCCATTTTTTCCCATTTTCCGACTTGTTTGTGCTCTTAATTTTCTTGCCAAGTTTGCAGTTTTCGCAACGTTTTTATATGATTTTTATACAAACGTGATATATTTTTCTGATGCGCCCGTTCACTTTTTATTATCGCAGCACCGCCCCATGTGTGTGTGGTGTGTGTGTGTATGTTTGGGTCTTTGTCCTTCGTCCTTTGTTCTGGGTTATTCAATTTCATTTATTGATTTCCCTGCTTATCTCTATCTGTGTGTGCGCCGTGGGGAAAGTAAGCACCCTACTTCTGCCTCATAAACGCAAACTGACGGTGATGGACGGCCATGTGCCGGTCCACCTTGTTCCAGAACTTCGCCACGATGCCGCAGTCCGAGTGCCGCTCGTTCAGCGGCAGGGCGAGCATGTGCACCGGCAAGTTGAGCAGCTCCTTAAGCGGCGGCGAGTCCTTAAAGTGCAGATGAAAGGCGCACACCTGGCGGAAGATGAGGGCCAGGTTGGGGAACTGGGGCCATCCCTTGAACTGCCAACTGGGACCCAAGGCGAACACGGCCACCACCTCCCCCCACTCCTCGGCGGTCAGACGGGTCACATTGTCGATGATCCGGTAGCCCACAAGTTCACCCTGAAAATTGCATTCCACAAGGGTGATTAGGACATTTAGCAAGCGTCTATTAACAATTCTAGCAAAAGGTAGTTCGTTAAACCACTGATTAGAGAGATTTTAATTTTTTCTTTGTTTTGCCCCGCTTTTCTAAAGCTTGAATAATACTAGATTTATACGTAAGAAAATTTTTGTGTGTAAACGGGAAAAAATTTTTCTATTAGCAAATTACTAAGTCATCAAAAAATTCTTTTGAATAATTCCCAATTTGCAAGTAAACGCAACGAGTTAAAATACAACTCCACCTAGGCAAAATACATTGTGGCTTTACATTAATAGCAAGTCTTCAAGGGACGAAAAATAAAAAAAAAACAAAAAAATTATATAAATAAAATAAGAAAATAAGCAAATCTAAGTTATTAGCTTTTGTTTAAATGGGTTCGCACTCACAGAGAAAGCTGTAAGATTTTAAATATTGAGATTACCTTAACTAAGTTAAACTAGTCCCAATATTTGTGATATTAAGCTTATGGTCTTTCCATTTATATTGTTGACTTTTAGAAACAACTTTTTGGACTTGAGTAGGTCACTCTTTGAAAATGTTCATCAATATTAGGCTTTTAGCTTGTCGAATTCGGCAATTTATATTACTGGTGGGTAAACAATAATATTGGTTTCCATTTGTACTTGACCCACCTGAAAGCGTCGCTCGATGATGACCTCGTCGGGATACTGGTAAGGCCTGTAAGACAGTCGAGCCTTCTCCACCGAGAGGTAGCGCATCTCCTGCAGGAGTTGCCTGGCATTGTGAATAGTGATCAGACTGGTCACTGACTGCGGAACCACGATGATGGGCATCCAGGAGCGGAGACGAGCGATCTTCTGGGGGTTCTCCACCTTGTCAGCGGTATTGGCTATTTGCTGGTTGACAGCTGGAGGATTGGTCTGCTCAGGATTGAGATTAATACCTGCTACCCCGACATTCTCAAGGTGGCTACTCTGCTGATTGATATTTGTGCCTGCTAACCCGACCTTTTCAAGGTAATTACCCTGTGGATTGATGTCGAACTCCTGCTGGCTCTTGAGAAATCTCTCCTGGCCATAGCGGTTGTACTTGTCCATGTGCAGGTCCATAGTTTCCGGCTGGGGCGGCACCACTGGCACTTCCCGCACCGTTTCAGGCGCCGGAGGAGCGATGGTCTCCTCTAGGAAGGATTCCTCCGGCCGGGACAACATGCGACGCTTCTTGGAATCGTAGACAAGAGCCAGGGTCTGCAGCACTCCGGGCAACTCCTTCTCGCCCAGCATCAGCTCATCGCGGGAGCGGTGCTGCCTCTCGCGCTCCATGGCCCGTCTGCAGATCTCCGCCTGCTCCTCGTGCTTCTGCTGATTAATTTCCCGCTGCATCATCCTCTCGCGCTGGGCAACGTCGTCGAGTACCCTCTTCATCGCCAGACGCTTGGACTTGATGGCCGCGATTGCCTCCACCGTCATGGTTTGGGCCAGAGTCATTGAATTGGTGTCCATTTCATACGATTTTATTTTCTTCACACTTGATTTGCGGGAAAGTACGAAGTTTTCCTTTATTTAGGAGCTCCAATTATGACACTGGCTGGTTATTAAATGATATTCTTTCAACGGGGAAGGCAAGGCCTACCAGTTTTATTTTTATGGTATCCATAAACTAGAGCTGCCAAGCCACCTAATTTTTATCGATTGTATATTTATATAATACTATTTATAATTTTTACCTAACTAACTTTTCTGTGTAAAATGTTTCTGCTAGTCGAGGTAAAAACTCTTTTACTTATTATATTTTTGTAATTAGTAAATGAATAGCATGTAGTCTGAAGGACTAAAAAGGCTTTCTTTTATCGATGATTCCAGCTTGCAAAAAAAAGGGATTCCTCAGCCCAACGAAACCTCACAGCCTTCACTCATATAATTATCTTATTAATGACTGCAAAATTATTAATAGCGAAACCTAAAGGAGTTCTCGCTTTTACTCTACAACTCTTCTTTAGAAGCTGGCTTTTTTCTTGGTTACCTCCTTTGTTGGCACATAAAAAACTCATAAATATTCAAACTTTCTCGCAGCCATCGTTTATTTTTTGTCAAAGCCATTATTTATTTTTATTACATTGGCTTGGTCAGTTGTTTGCCTCGCTTCTTCTCTCCGATGATTTTTATTTTTCCGCCCCAAGTTGTTTTTATTTGTAAGCTATTTTTATTTGACAAAGTTTCACCCTCACCCCGGGAAAGCGTCGCAGAAGGAATTGTCCCGGCTTTATGTTATTGACTTTAATAACATTTTAGCTGCAAGGCATGAAAATATTTTTATAAATTGTGTTTTTATTTTCTTCGGCTTTCTTGCATTTTTTTTTCTTCAGCAACTCTCCGCTTTGTTTTGCTGCCGAAGCCGAAGTCTGAAATTGATTTCTGCAAGGGGGCCACTCGGGGTCCCATCATAATTTATGCATCCATCGAGTCAGCCAGCCAGTCAGCCAGTCAGCCAGCCAGCCTCAAAAGCTATTAGCCGACTAAGCTCAGCGCCCCTCGATTCCCCAGTTATCGCGGCTATAGCCCGGGGAAGCCCGTAATTGCTAAAGCGAAATTTCATTACCAAAAACGAAAACGAGCGGGTGGAAAGTTGGCTGGCAGACGGGTTTCGTTTCGCGTGTGATAAATACCGTAAAAGGTCGCCGCCATCGCTGCCTCTGAAATGAAATTTTCATCCAGACTCTTGTGGCAGCCATTTTGTCGGCGTTGCACTAGAAAATGGCTGAATGGCGGCGGTGGCAGCGGCATCGTTGTCGCCATTTTTGTTTATGGCCGCATTTGTCACGGCAAATTGTATTGCCAACTGGCGTGGTTCTTGCCATTCGCCGGCATTTTTTTTTTGTTTCTGCCACGTTAAGAGTGCGGCATAAAAAATGCGATGAACCGAGGGCTCACCTTACATCTACGGCCTTTTGGCATGTTAATTAAACCGGCTGGATGGCGGAGATCATCTGATTGCTCATTCGTCTCGGCACTAATTAAGTTTATGGTATTATGACGGGAAAAATGGGATAGTAAATGGAGATTTTGGCAGGTATTTTTCAGGCAGAAACAAATTTCGGACTTATATTTCAGATTCAAAGACAGAAATTCCCGTGAAATTTAAAAATTCCCGCATAGGAGACTGCACAAGAGCTGATTCTAGGGTCATGAAAGCCAGGGTAACCGAAAACAATGCAGGGGAATTGAAATTGAAAACAATGGCTTACTGACATAGATATGAAATGCCTTTTTTCGCCGCATTTAGATTCGCATTCTCGATTCTTTTCTGGTTAAGTCAGCGAAGCGTACTGCAGAATCGAGTGCATAACTTCAAATTTAATCAGAGAAGAATGCGACCACGCATAGCCATTCTGGCCGCGGGGAAATGGAATCATCGCTGGCCAGCGTTTTGCACTCAACTGCATGGAATCGCATCAAAGCAAGGGAAAACCAGCAGAAGGGAAATGGAAAAGAGGGAAATTCTGGTGCCTTTGGGCGATCCTTCCACGCAACTGGCAACTAATTTCGCCTCAGTGACAAGACAAGGCCATCAAAAAATCCCCCAAACGGACCTTGGCCAATTATTGTTTGTGGCTCTCTCGTTTTATTACGTAGCCGCAGCATTGGCCCGTTTACGGCACACGACCCTCAACGGGACGGACCCGGTCGAATCATTTAATGTGCAGGCTGCGAGAGGAGAGAAAAACAATTTTGTCAGCTTATAAACAGTAAAAATAAAATGCCGGGCTAAACAAATACGATGAGAGGACCAACGACATCACTATAAAGCGCCATTGAGACACGAACACATGTAGAACACACGTACAACACACCCAGAATCACTTGCATATAGTACATACACTGAGAAAAACAATCATCAAATATTTCTAGAACTTGCTGGAATTGTATTCTTAATTTTAAATTATTTATTTTGAAATCCCTATGAAGGCTAGTTCATATTTTAATAATAAACCGACACAAACTAGAGCTGTATGTATGCTGTATGTATCAGTACACACATTGGTGATCTTGTTCAGCAGATTAATCAGTGTAAAAAAAATGTTTTATTTTTATAAATATTTATATTTATTTATCCCAATAATTTCTTTTTTATATAAGGCTTTTTGTCGACTGTTCTCTCTGTGTACATGTGTTTGCTTGGCTCCCTTCAAGGCTGACACTTTATTACTTTCCTTGGCGAATTATTTTCATTATGTTTTCGCTCTCGGAGCAGATTCATTTTGCAAGCCAGGGCAATTTAATGGAAATGAGATTGGCTTCGGCCGAAGGTGCAATGAAGCCATTGACGAGGAATGGAAATACGCTTGTTAAGTGTGTAAATACTGCCAGTGCAGTGGGAAGGGTCAGGACCGCTGATAAATTTCAATGACATACTTTCGTCCTGTGTCATCACAAGGACCTCGAGTTGCGATCGAATTGTTAACCATGGCGAATCTCGACCACATTGAGACGACTTCAAATAACAGTGACAGGCTGCACAGGATATGAACTGGAGGTCTGCTTGTGTTCTTGATTGTCCTGTCGACTGTGCACACACATATATACTGTGTGCAGGGGAAAAGAATGCAGAGTCCGCTAACCTTTTCAAAGTTTTTTAAAGAACTCGACAACTGCAGCCGCAGTTGCAATCTGTATCTAGTATCTTTCTTTGCCATTCCCGGCGTGTCCACTTGGCTGTCTCTCCATCATGTTTGCACATTTTGATGTCTGTTTGATGTGCAACAGTTGCACTTCAAGTGGCCAGTTGCTGCCTGTCATCTCGCTTTGCGAAATATCAAGTATTCGCCATGTGGTCCGACTCTTGGCACTTCCGCCCGCAGGGGCCACTTGGCCAGAGAGAAACTTTTTTATTCAATTTGATTTTCTTCAACTCCGAGCAGCTGTTGCAACTTCCCCACAAAATTGAATCCGAGAACGGATGCCAGCACACGAAATTAAGCGGAAACTCTGCAATTTATTTGCAATGGGTTATGTCAGAACATTTATATAGATTTTCTCAAGCGTTCTAGTGTCGCAGGCTTTAATCAGGCGGCGTTCTTAGTAGGCCACATAAGCATGCACATTTCTTGGAACTTTTCTGTTAAGGCATCGTTGAGTCGAGTCTCATCTTCTTTCAGAGAACTTGTGTGCAGGCAATCAAGGAGTCAACCTTGACGAGCAGGTGCAACTGCATGCACTGAAAAAAATATATACAACACATTTTATCCAATTAAGACAAATATTTGGTTTTAATCATGGTTCTTGAGTGGGCATCATTAAAGTGCGGAAATTAATACTTTAAAGAATTCATTTCTCCAACTAAAACAAATATTTTGTTTTAATTATGAGACTTAAGTATGCATCATACAAGTGTGGCACGCTATACTTTTAACATATAGTATATCACAAGAAGTTTTAATGTATTGCTTGATTCGGTTTATTTTTAACCATTTTTAAATTATTCATAAGAATAGTACCTTAAAGACAAAGTTTTTTAATGTTAGAGCTAGTTTTTTTTTGAGTGTAAGTGCGAGTAGTTTCGTATGACATTTGCAAGCTGGCAGGAAGTGCACTTCAAACGGAAATTGCGACACACATATTGCTTGCTTCCTTTGACTGCTTTCTCTCTTTAACAGTATGCGCACGTATGCTAATGTCTATGTATCTCTCGCTTCCCCTAAATTACCGTAATTTATTACAGCCAGAGGGATGGCCTTTTTTCTTCTTCAAATGCATTTCAATTGCCAAGTGTGTCAAAAGTTTCAACGCTTTTCGGGTTTTCCCAGCTCACCTGCCAACTGTTGCCCTCACCTTTTCAGACTGTCTGTCTCGGCTCCTGGCCAAAAGCTCATCACATTTGCCACTTAGTCAGCTCGTCAGCTTTTGTTGCAACATTTGCCGCTGCATACACTTAAAAATAATTTAGTATTTTTTAATGATTGAAACTAAAGTGCAATATTATCTTACGTTTTTAAATGTTTAGGATAAGCTTTTTATTTGACAGACAGTTCAAGTTTTACGAAATGTATTCTTTCAAAATTAATTTATGTTACATACTGGAATAAAATTGGCTTAAAATATACATATATATATATTTCTCACCAAAAGATGAGAATTGGTTTACTGAATTAAGAGCAAGTTACTATTTTGTTAAGTGCACATCCATGTGCAGTTTCGTGCAAAATATTTTAGAGCGTTATATGGGATGTGCAGCAACTGTAAACTGTAAAATGCTACTAATTGTTTTGCCGCCAATTACGTGCACAAGTGTGTGTGGCAACGAACACGTGTGTGCGTGTGTCTGTCGTTTGATGTATGCGCTCTGTTTATTAAAATTTATTTTGTCGAGCACCTACTTTTCAGTTCTACTCAGCTCTGCCGCTCACCTTGCCGGTAATTTGTGCATACTCGCATAATATTTAGCACAATTTTCCGCATTTTGCGGCTTCGACTGACGAATGGAATGCATGAGGAATGCTGCGAGTGGGAAATTATGGTTTTTTGCTATCAAATAGATATCATGGCGAGCGGTGAGAATGAAAGTGAATACTGAAATGGCTAACAAAAGTTA